CAGTCAGGGGGTGGGAAGTGGGAGTGAGTGGATGGGGTGGGGTGGGGGCGGGGTTTCCCCCCCTCCAGTGTCCTCTCTTTTGATTGTGGAAATATGGTAACCCTATTTTAAATTAGAAGGTGCTTGGTTTGAGGTTTCAGATCATATCTAACTTTTGTTATATTAATTAGAATTTTTAAGAGAAAACTTTCAAAATCAAGTACACTTTTATTCCTTTTTAAAATCACATAAATTTTGCATTGGAACAAGTGGACTCTGGTTTACATGATTTACAGCTGTGCCTGGTATTGGTTAGTTGATTATAAACAAGACTTGTATTTGAATGTTAAGAGGAAATATGTCCTAATGCGTAAATGGAATCATTTCTGCACAGTCTCATCACTCCTTTGACTAGTATTCACTTTGGACCTGACCTCAGCCAATCATTCACTTTTTAAACCTGTCTCTGCTCTCAGTTATTCATGCTGGCTAGGCCTCTTTCTAAGGGGATATCACTGGAAAGTTTATCAAAATGGCGCTTGCAAAGACTTACATGGAGGAGAAGCAATATCTGTTTTTCCATTTTAATGTTTCACATCACAGTTTACTATCTTGTCATCTAACACATGGTATTACAGTAAACAGCTTTTGCAGCCATGAAACACCTTGACATCTTTTCCTGTAACTAATCTCCAAAGACTTTTACTACTACTTACACTCCACAGGCATCTGTATTATTCCTTCTTGTTGTTAGTGATGTCACACAGTAGGTTTTGGAATTACGATCTTTCCCCTCCAGCCCTTTATCAAAATAATCTAAAGGACTCTGTGGGTTCACATACATCATCTAGCAGGTGGGGAGAGGCTGTGTGTTTTAAGCATTGCTCAGGAGGAGGAGATTTGAGGGATGAATACAGTGGTTGCCACTAGAAAGTCATAATTTACCCACTAGATACCTCTCAGTAACTATGGTCTAAGTGTAGGGAACATCTACGGAAACTGACTGCATGTCTCACTCCCTCCCTAAACATCATTAAATCAGCATCCTCAGAGTGGGGGAATCTCATGTCCATACAATTGTCTTTCTCAACCCATTCTTCAGGTAGGGAACTGGGATGTGAATATATGAAGCAGCAGTGTGTCAGTGCTACTCAGTTCTGAAAATGAGGCACCAGTCTCTGCAGGTGATTCCAGAATTAAGCATCACTTCCTTACCTCCTCAGTGCCGTGGACCAAAAACATGGTATATTGGCATTGACACCACTTTCCAAGGTCATTCCCTTTTGTCACAATCTCACAACATTGTATCCCAAGCAACATGAAGTTGCATTTGACATGATGATGTTGCATCTTGGTATGTATGCATAGGCATTTCTTGGGTGACTGAGCACATGGGACTGGAAAGGCTAGTAATTTTTGCCATTCAGGTTTGCAATGTGGTTGTCAACTCTGAGATTTGTGCACCATTGCTCCAGTTGGATATAAGCTACATTAGATAATTTAAAGGTTGACTGTGATGCTTTGCAGTGTCTCTTGTGAGTACTGAAATTCACATTATTCAATGTTCTATTTAAAGGCATTGGGGGAAAGAAAGCAAAGACAGTATGCTTCTTAATATACTTGAAGTCGGTTAATTAAATTACTTCAGTTTTTTCTTTTAGTACGCCTCAAGCAGAAACTCAATTGCATTTCTGCTTTTCACAATAAGGTTAGCAATTTGGCTAATTGGAAGTGCAGCAGGAGATTAATTGTACCTTTTTAACTTCAGGGAAATCCTCCCTGCTTCTGGCACAGTTGCAATCACACACAAACCTACTGGATCTTCATGCACTCAG